CGGCTCCCCAACACCGAGTTTCGGGGGTTTACGGACTCTCGAACGAGGTTCCCGGGGCCGATTGGCGCGACGTGGACTGGGATGCGACTCCACCGCCGGGGCCTGGAAGGCCCGGCGCCCGCGACGTGGATCCCAGGCTCCCGGTCCCCCTTGATCTCCAACATGATGAACAGATCAGGGAATTCTTCCGAGGCGGTGGTGAGCATACGCTCGAGCAGCTCCTCGCGTTGGCGCGGCGCCGGAGGCGCGCGTTCGTCTACCAGGCTGCGATTTTGTCGAACAGGCCAGTGTTTGAAAGCTGGCCCGATTACGATGAAAACGAGCTTGGACCGACACCCGAGCGCGTTCCGCTCCTCACAGGCAAGGTCTGGCCTTGGGGCTGGTGGGATTGCTTTACTTGTGGGCGTGCGAACCCACCAGAACGCAATACCTGCCGGCACCATGATTCCGAGGAGCTCGGAGGTGCCCCCTGTGTGGGGATCTTCGAGGACAGCCTGTACTGGCGCACGCCGGTGGACCTGCGAACGGCGCCGGCGTGGTTCATCGAGGTCTGGCTCGATGAACATAAGGAACGCATAAAGGAGTACCTTTATGCGAAGCGTTCGGACGCGATCGCCGCCGCAATGTCCAACGCCTACTGGACCTGTGGGCGGGACACATTCCAAGAGAGGAACATGTTATGGCGCAAACTGTGCTTTAAGTGCAGTGGCCCTAAGTCGGGCGCGTCGTTCATAACCCACGGCATGCCGCCCCAGGAAGGCGACGATGAAGCTGCTTCTTCGTCGGAAGAGAGCGAGGGCACGAAGATGTAACGGATCGAGCGTTCCATCAACGCCGATCCCCTTGCGGAGCATGCGAGGAAATTCCTCCGCTCCGGACGGAAGAGGCTCCGCGCTGAAAAGCGCAGGCAGGCAGAGCTCTCTCAAGACTCTGCCCGAGTCTGGTGGAGCCAACCTTCCTCCGGGCGCGGTGCACCCAGTGGGGGCCGCAGCTCTGGCAGCAAGGGTGGTGGCAAAGGTGGTGGAAGGGGAAGCTCGAACCGCTACGGCAACCGAGGATGGTGGGCCGGAGGTGCTGCCGGACTGGCATACTCCTCCCGACTCGGCGAGCGTGCTGGGCAGCTCGCCCTCACGCTCCCACTGCGTGGCCCGGGTGGCCACAGAGTGGCGCCCGAGGCCCCTGCCGTTTCTTCTCGCCCCGCTGTCTCTTCCGGGCCCCCGAACCGTGGTGGGTTCCTTGGGGCCGTGCGCTCGATAGGCGCTGCGGTCACCAGCTGGGCTCTCTCCAGGAGAGCGCGCAATCGCGCAGCCCACTCCACAACGGGCAACATTGGATGGAAGATGGGTTTGGTGGCCGCTGCGCTGGCGCCTACCCTCTTCACTGTTGAGCGCGGTGCCAGAGAGGTGGCACACGTGAGCCTCTCTGCAGTTGCCACTGCGGCGGAGGACCTCATCGAGGAATCCTCTGGTATCCTCGTTCGGGGTGTCCGCGTGGTTGGCTTGACGGCCGTCGTCCTACTGTGGACGTTCGCGGCCGTAGTGCTGTGGTGGGCCGGACGTGTCGCCACTAACCGGCTTATGCACGCCATGAACGGCAACCCTTTTGGGAGTGCTGTTCTGGTGTCGCTTGAGGGCCGAGAGGCCGTCTTTGAGGTCGCGTCCAAGACCAAAGCCGGAGCGCACAGGGTTCTCGTGAAAGTCGGGTCGGGCGCGGACGGCGCAGGCTGCGACTGCAGGGCATTCCTGAACGAGGGACGTTGTGGTCACGTAGAACGCGCTGTTGAAGCTGCGGGGCAACTCGTGGCCATGACAGGCGCGAGCGCTGCCCCAACGCTGCCCGCCGCCCCGGCCGCGACTAGACGCGCCCGTGCGATTCTCGGCGCGCCCGCCCTGGAACAGGGGTGTTTAGCCGGCATGGTTTCGAAAGCAAGGGCGCTTTCGGAAAGAGCGCGGAATGTCGGCAGCCCGTCGGAGGGCTGCCTCGACGGCATTTCCAAGCTCAGAGGCCGCCAAGGGGTGGCCACAGTGTCGGCGCCCCCGACGGAGACTGTTCCGAAGACGCCTGCCAGTGGGGCTACCCGTCCGGGTGCCTCTGCAGTGTCTCCGGCTCCGACAGTTCCCTTGTCGAGCCAGGCGCGGCGCGTCCGGGATTTTCCGCTTCCAGATGGCTTCGAGCGGGCTGGGGTCAAGTTTCTGACCCTTCCCGAGTACCACAGCGTGGTGCAGATGATGCTGGCCGATGCTGGGCAGGGTGACCACGTCTACGTGCGGGCCTACAGCTTCGACAGCAAGCCCTTGGTGGGAGCCCTCGTGTCCTCGCTGGAGCGAGGCGCCCGAGCTCACGTGCTAGCCGACAACTCGCAGACGAGTCGGACGAAGCTCCAGCTGCAGTCCCTTAAGGAACTTGGTGCTGCTGGAGTTCAGGTCCGTGTCGGCAAAGGCACATCGGTGAAGGCAGCTTATGCAGCCGAAAACCGAACGGATGTGAGCGTCGGTGCCGGGCTCGCGGGCATCCACCACGCAAAGTCGGTGCTCGTGACGAGGCCGAACTCAAGCGTTAGCGCCGTGATTGGCAGCCTAAATTTTAGTGCTAGCTCGCGGGCTAACGCGGAGGTCGGCATCGCTGTCGCCAGTGTGCTGACCTCCGAATTCAGCCAAAAGTGGTTGGATTCGTTCGGCACGGAATGGTCCAAGGCGCTGAAACTCGAGGAGTTCGAAGCGCCTCAGCGGAACCAGCGCGGGCGGGCAAAGCACTTGAATGCCCAGCAGCCCGCCGTGCAGCCCAGTGCGGAGCCGCAGTGACCGTGGACTAGAAGTCGCGGCCTGCCTGCCGCCCTTCTAGCCACCTGTGGCAACCTTCAGTTTTGCGTGCAGCACCTGGCTGCTTCCCGATGGGACGACAGGGTGGCGTATCCGCTCTACGGGTTCTTGACGGCGGTAGCCAGGGAGGCACGGTAGTGCTCCCGAAGCGCGTGGAGTTACGCCGGAGCTTCAGCTGCTTGTCTCACCAGCCCTGTGGCCGCCGTGCGGCGCAGGCTGTGTACAGTTGTAATGTAAAACAAGAGCCTCGTGCCGACCGTGCCGAGAAAAAGCACGGAAGGTGAGCGTCGTGGTGAGTTCGTTTAGGAGGGTAGTGTCTGTAGGTCTGTTTCTACGGCCTTCGGCCACCCGCTTACCCTAACGGCTCTATCGTGCTCTCGGCTGAGGGGCGAATGTAACTGTACATAGTATGCGGGCTGGCTGTTGTGCTGTATGCTTTTATGCATGCTCTTCTGTAATTCGTATTCATAACATTTTTGGCTCAAGTGAGCACGGCAGTGTGTCGTTGGTAGCCTCTCGTTGCCGCGACGCAATTGCGCGCAGCCCGTCCTGGGCGGACGTTCGACCTGTCACGGTCGTTGGACTTTCTGCTTGGACGGAAAACGAGGGTGCGTGCTGCCCCTTTTGGGTTTCCGTTCTCCACAATATTAGGGGTCTAAAGTAATAGCTTGGTTGCCTTATGGTAACTGAAGGTTTCAGGTTTCGGGGCCGTGACGAGTAGAACCGGGTTTTTAGGGCTCTTATGAGGGTTCTATAGGTCAAGGGTGTGTCTGGTCTGATTGTAGGGGTCCTGCTAATATAGAAAAAATCTGGCTTTTGCTGTACAAATAAATAATAAACCATAGAGCAATTAGAACCATTATAACCATTGAGGGACCATTTACATAGTCTGCCATACGACTTTAAGAAACATTGAAGCTTGACATACGTATCGAATGCAGCGGTTATACAAAACTTTTGTGCAGACGGACACGTGGTTGTTGATAGGGTGAGCTCCCGAAGCGCAGAAAGCAGAATCCTAACCGCCAAAAGCTGGCATAGAACATGGACTCAAAGACCATAACACCTGCAAACTTCACACCTACAATAACCAAACAAAGCATCTAAATTCTGAGACCTAGGTCGTCTCGAAAAGCAGCTGACCGGCGCACAAACACTAGGGCGTCACTACTGCTTCACTTCGTAGCGGGATGTTCAAGTATATCTTCGGGTTTTGTACAATCCAGCACTCAGACCATCCGTCACCACTAAAATCCTAAGCCCCACAACAACAAGACTACATAAACCTTCGCCAAACCCTAAAGCCCCAAACGCACAAAAGCCCTCACGACCGCCGCCCCCACCTGCCCGAAAAGCACGCCCTCGCCCTAATTGAAGGGGCCTTTAAACAATTAGAACAGGGGTTCTGCAGACTTTGTATCAAAACAAGAATAAGGAGCCTTGCAAGAACAGTACTATATACTAATTCTTCAGGCTTCTGTTACTACCTTGAGGGTCGTTGGTCATACCCCATCCCCTGTTTAGGGTACCTAGTTTTATGTTTACGATCTGGTATATAAACCCCTCTAGGTAAAGTAGAAACTTTGGTTAAGACTACTACTACTACTACTACTACTACTACTACTACTACTACTACTACTACTACCACTGCCACGACGACTACCACTACCACTACCACTACCACTACCACTACCACGACCACGACCACGACCACGACCACGACCACGACCACGACCACGACCACGACCACCACCACCACCACCACCACCACCACCACCACCACCACCACCACCACCACCACCACCACCACCACCACCACCACCACCACCACCACCACCACCACCACCACCATACCACTACGACTACTGCGACGACTACTACTACTACTTCTTCAATGATGTGGAAGATCCACTCTCACTCCTGCAAGTAGAAGGTTTAGGGTTCAGGGCTTAGTGCCTGTAATGATTGGGGCAGGGTCTAGAGCTTCTGAGCTTTGAGGTTCTTGTCAGGCTTCTGCGCACAGTACAATAAGGCCGTATGGGGCTTGATCTGGGCTGTGATAAGCAGCGGAGCTGGGGGGTGGATTACAGGATGCTTACATTTACATCGCGACAGTATGGGGATACGCTTCCAGCTATAAAAACAAAACATCAAGACCTGAACCGACAGCAAGCGAGCGGCGACTTCATGACACCTCGGTCTTCTGGCATCGCGAGGTTTGGAGGTGAGTGAAGCACTGAACCCTACAGTACACCCTAAACCCGGTGAAGGGCTTAAGAATTTAACACCTGAAGCCCAAGCCACCAACCCGGATCAACGCGTAACCCGAAATCCCACCGGTTTGTTTACGGCAAAGTTTACGGTTTAGGGAAACATCAAAAACATCAAGACCGATGGAAACTTGGCACTGGTTGTCAACCTGCATACGACGAGCCGAACCCAAAGAGCCAAAATCTTATAACACTCCAAATCCTCAATGCCGTGAGGCGCTGCAGAATCCCTACACATCTACACAGCGCTGAAAGAAGGCCTAAGCCCTCCCTAGAGCACTTGTAAAGAAACTTATGGAATGCCGGGACCCTAGACCGGGCAGCCCTTAACCCTAAACCCTAAACCCTAAACCCTAAACCCTAACCTCGACTCCAAAGCCCTAAGTCTTCTGCAAGCTTGAAATCCCACTTAGGGTTTAGGGTTTAGGGGTTTAGGGTTTAGGGTTTAGGGCTCCATTGTAGTTCCTTGTTGGGGTTATCCTCATAGGATCCTAAATATTAAACTGGTCTACAGGTAAACTACAAACCCTGAATTTGTAGGGTTCAGGGCATTGGGCTTTAGGGTTAAGGGCTTAGGATTTACCTCTAAATTCCAAACCTTGAGAGCTCACACTTCACATTTTCGGGATTTTAGGGGTTTAGGGCATCGGGCCTATCTCTAAATTCCATGCCTTGAGAGCTCACATTTCAAATTAGGTTGTTTGTACAGTACCTAGAGGGTCATACCCCACCCCTTTTTTAGGATACCTAGCTTTATGGCTAGGATCTGTTATATAGAAAATTAGGTACCTTAAAAAAGGGGTAGGATATGAGCCTCTAGGTATGTGGGCCGAACTAATTACCAATACTACTGTGGTGGGTTCCTTCTTGTTATTTTTAAGGCCGCTATATTACATTATGTGGGCCGTGAACACAGCGTTGGACGGTGCAGTGTTGGGAGATGGGACTGAAGACCCCCTTGGACTTTCGGAGGAAGTGCGAGCAAAAAGGTCATTACACTGAGATACCTTCAGACTAAACCCTAAGCACCCCGAAACTAAATCCTAAACCAGGTGGGAGCCAGGCTGCCATGCAGGATAGTTGGGCGAGCTAGGCCGGGAAAGGCTTTCATTAAATCCTGTAGGCAAAGGCAAGTCGCAATAGACCAGCTCGTCTAGCTGTCCATGCCAGCCGCTTGGAATCTTCGGTGTCCTCAAGAACTGAAACGACGGTACCTTAAACCTTAAACCCGAAACCCAAAACCCTATAAAAACCGTAAACCGAAGACCCATGTAGAACCTAAACCCGCAACCCTAAAACCCAAGCCCCAACAAACCCTAAACCCACGGCAACGATCCGAAACCTTAAACCCGGTGGAGACACCAAAACCTAAATCCGAAACCCTAAACCCTAACACTTAAGCCCCAACCCCCTGCTAAGCAAAGTTCAAACTCCAAAGATCAAAGTACAGAACAATCCTATTATACCGCCTCCTTTTGGACCCTTCGTGTTTGAACTCCAAAAATCCCAAAAGCTTCTTGTGCCCGGTCTCTGCTCGAAGGCATCGACGAGGCTCTGCAGCGATTCTGCCGGAGAGACCTCTTTAGGCTTTGGGGCTTCGGGTTTGCGGTTTAGGGTTTATGGTTTTGGCTTCGGGGCCTAGGGTTTAAGTTAATGGTTTAGGGTCTAGTGTCTCGTTTCGTGTAAACCAGTAGGCCCAACACTATGTTTACAGGCAGAACAGCCAGAATGCAGACGCATATTTTCTTGAGCCAATGAACGACGGTAGGTGCAGTAGACTAGCTACATCTTCCACAAAATACACCCCCCGCGCATCTTAGTGCAACGGTAGAGGCGAAGGCGATGGAAGGAAAGACTAGTCACTAGACCGTCGTGAGCATATCACTTTGTGACAGCGAAAACAACTTGCAACAAAAGCAAATTATGCGGCCGATGTTTTTGCGCCCTGTGCTGTTTGTACGAGAAGGATAGCTACCAACCCGTTAGGGCGGTGCCGACGCTTAAATCTCACTTCACTACTAACCAGACGGCATCTAAATGTCTCAGAATACCATCCCGTTAGGGAGGTGATCAAGCTCGGCGTAATGGGCCGTCGATCAAATGACCTCAGTAGATGCGGTCACGGCGGTTGGTCCTGTAGTTGTAGACCTCATGGACCCATCCTGACAAGAACCATTGGGCATGAGAGGTGTCCAGAATCGTAAAGCCATGTGGATTACCATGAGTAGGAATGGCATTCACGACTGAAGTAGGCTGGATGTAATCTTCGGTCATCGCAGCGAACACCGCCCATTGGTACATGTCAACGCGGTGCCAGTCCATTCGCCTGGCAAGCGAAGGATCGATGATGTTGCCGGAAAGATCGTTCCCCAACACGAAGTTTGGGTACAACAATCCTGCGACCCTGAGCTGCTCAAAGAAGTTGACAACAGTCTCACGCATCCGGACCTCTCGGTCGGAGACATCTCTCGTCTCGAAGAACACGCCGAAGGTCGGTGGGTCATGGGGTCGCCGGCGATAGGTCTCGGACCATTCGCGCCTTGTGCCGAGATCAACAGCAGAGGACGGTGTCTCGCTCACTGTTCCATCCATAGTGGTATCGGGAGCAACCGTTTCCGGTGCTGGACTGCTGAAGCCTGTGCCAGCACGCATTGCATCCCAATCCGCGTCACTGATGTAGCTGGACGGATCACGTGCCACACGCCTGGGCGGCGGCATCGCAGGCTCCCGAGGGGTGCGATCGGTAGATGAGCCCGCTGCATCTCCAGGGTTGGTCCGGATGTGGACCTCGGTCGGACGATGTCTTGCGATCGGGGACCTTGTGCGATTGCGCTCTGCTGTACCCGATGCACGCTCGTCAGAGCTGCGACCTCGTCGTGCAGGAGATGCCGGAGGCTCAGGTGGGCGACGCTCGGACGCGGGTGCCGAAGTGGTCAACCTCACGTGGCCGCTCTCCCCGATGCGCTTGTCCATATAGTACTGCTGGTACCGACGATAGTAAGGAGTATTGGCCAGCAGCTCGTTGAGCTGACGTTTGCCAAGTCCCTGTGCCTCAGCGGGTACCTGCAGATTTCTCTGGGTGCGCAGAGAAGGATTTGTCTTCTCGATCCGTGTCCGGCTCAGTGGCAATTGTGCCTGAAAGAAAGTAGCCAGCTCGGCCATGATCGGCAAGATTTCATTCTGCACGACGATGTATTTCTCCCCATCGTACTGCAGGATGGAAAACTCATGCTGGTTCGACTTCACAGCCTTGATGAGAACTGCAATCTCATTGATGGTGTAAAACCGATCATGAAAACAAATCAGACACTCCGTGAGGAGGTCGATCTCAAGCTGGCCTGTCACCCAGAGGAGGGCAACCTTTCCGGTGGCATCATAGTAGGTGGACGAACCATGCCCTTTTCCTTTGCCCTGAGGATCAGGAAGCCTCACGTTAGCGAAGCGTTGCAGCGCCTCGACAGTGTGAAAGCTGAGACCCATTTTGGCGTAGTTGTGAGCAGTGATGGGGTCCACACTGTATTGCCCCTGCGGAGTGGTGTTGTGGAGCTTCTCCGCTCTCTTCTGCTGATTGAGGACCTTCTGGCGGATGCCAGACGCTGTGCTTTGGATTCGTTCCCTTTCTTCTGGCCCTTGAATCTTCACACGCTGGTGCTTAAGCCCCGAGGACGGCTGCAAGTCAATGATGTTGACCTGCCTGCCCTCTCGGGCGGCGCTTCGCCGGAGTCTGTCTGGCTCGGCGATGATTGCAAGGTCGGTCATCTCGATGAGACGACGCTGGCAACCTGGACAGGAGATCATTCCGTCGATGTACTTGTGATTGCACGAGCTGCAATGGTACCCGGGGTAGAGTACCAACTCCTGTTTAATCCAGTGCCTCGGTTCAATCCTCTGGCGAAGTCGGATCCGCTTGCCTTCCATGGATGGCCAGACGTGGATGCCGATCCCGAGCGTGCCGTCATATGTTTCGATGAGCTGGTCATCGTTCTTCCTTCGCTCGATGATTTCTTCGCCGACCTCGCTCAAGATGTCCGCTGAAATGCGAAACGGGGTCTTGCCGTCGATTGCGACCGGCGCCCACTCAGCGATGGTGAGATTCTCGGCGCTTTCCAACAAGTCGAGAAAGCAGTTGTGCTGCTCCAGGGCAAATTGATCCGGACCAAAGATGTACTTATGGCTTCCATCCTTGTTCCAGCTCGCTAGAGCGGAGTCAATGTTCCGGCGGAACGCCTGGTAGGCCGGATTGACCCACACAGGCTCTGCTGTGCCCCGCTGATAAGCGTAAACCAGATATCGATTGCTGATCCAATCTGGTGTCTCCAGTGCCCCGGAGCGAGTCTCGAAGAGCCGGACGCCGTCCAAGACGGCCATTTGGAGATCGATGGCGAACTCGACGTCCGCCGCCTCGCGAAGGCCCGCATTGTCATCCCTTTTCCATTCTGGTTGCTTTGACATCATGACAAAAGCCCTGCTACCACTCTCGTGGAGCGCGGCACCACCAGGCAACAATCCGTATCTGATGATATCTGGGAAGTGCCTCATGAAGGTGCCGTGGTAGCCCAGTTTGCAAGGGAAATCGACAAACTCCTGGGAGTACATGTCGAACGGATGAATCTTAGGCCGAGTCGCTAGACTGGCGTCCCATGGCACAAAGGAATGTACCACGGAGTGGATGTCGGCGAGTTCGGTATCGTCACCGAAGAGTTCCGACCAATGCCCATGGATAGCCCGAGCTCGAAGCACGTCAAATTCCTGATCATTGTGCTTCTGAATGTAAACTTCGTAGCGGGCTTTCCCGTCGACTGGGGTCTTAAAGACTTCGAAGATCTGGGAGACCTTGAGCCCGTTCCAGATCTGGCTAAGGGCATCGATGAACTCTTCCCAGTCCATCGAGAGGTCGTTCCTACGAATCGTCACTGTCGGCGTTCTATTGCCGTACTCGGGCTTGTTGGTGAAGCCTCTGAGGACGAATGCACACTTCTTGCCTAGTTTGAAGCGCTGGCCCTCACTGAGGTGGCGATGATCAGACGCGAAGGGCGGCAGGTCCGGGCCTGACAACCAAAACTGACCATCCCTTCCGGGAGGTGACGCTTCTGCCTTGGCACTGGCAGCGTGCTCCGCTTTCGGCGTAGGTGCCGATTTCACAGCGGTGATAGGCATCTTCTTAGGAGGCGGTGGCTGCAACGGTTCAGTAGGCTTTGCGCCAGACGATGCAGACTTCCCAGGAACTTCCTTGGGCGGGAGTGTGCCAGACGCCGACGATGAGGATGCAGCCTGCGGCACGGCAGGAGGTACAGCATGAGCCTTCGTGGCCAAAGGTAGGATACCAGTTGCCTTAGGCTCCGCGTCAGCGGGCCGCGCCTTTGGAGGAACAGGTGGTTTCTTGGCCTCCTCCAATTGCATTTCCCTCATCAAATTCTGAATCCCGACAGATCCCCTCGCGTAGAATCGGGGCCGCTTGCTGAGTTCTTCTTCAGTGAGCTCCTCAATGTCTTTGAAGATTTTGTTAGACTCAGCATCCTCGTTAGAGGTGCGACCAATCTCCAGATCGAGACCGTAGACGCCGAGGGCATTCGCCAAGGCAATCTCTTCATCAGTCGCAGCCTCTTCACCGTGACTGCCGATCTGGAGCTTGGTGATCATCACAGAGGGATCCGAGTTGTCCTCAGTTCTCTGGACAACATTCTCGGCTCCAGGTGTCGTGTCGAAGAGGACACGATCGGTGTCGGTCAGCTCCTCTGGCTCGGCACACAGAAGATCCTGATGTGCGGCCAACAGCGGAGCACTCAACACGATCTGTTCGTCGTCCCCCCGGACGTCTGGCGGTTCCTCGCGCTCAGTGTCAGCACAGACGTGCATGTCCTTCAATGGCGGGACCGTTATACGGGAGTCCGGCTTGGCCAGGTGGAAGTGCTCGAAGAAGACCACCTCTCGGCGGTTGGCAACCAACTCTGATCGCAAGTCCGTCACCGCACGGTCAAAGACCGTGGCGGTAACAAGTGACTTGTACCATGTGACAACCGCGGCCACATTGTCAGCCGTGAAGTTCGTGTGAAACTTGTCTGGTCTGTCAGTGGCGCCCAACACTGGGTTGGGGTCGACCAGTCTCACACCTGCTTCGGCCAACACTTTCGTGTGGCGAGTCATCTCCTCGTCGTACTCTTCCGGCAGGCCGTACATAAAGCCATTCTCGGGGCCTGAGATCATTGTCACAGAATTAACCCCTGGCCGGTCCTTTAGGGCGGCGATCTTGACGACATCTTCCTGAACCTTCTTGAGCTGCTTGATCGGCCACTCGAAGGCTTTGCGAGCCATCTCGGCCGTCTCTTTCACCCACGGCGACTGGTGGTGCCAGGTGAAGGCCTTGTAGCCCCACTTGCCGTAGACGTCATTGCCAGTCCACGAAATGAAAATGTCAAACCCTTCCGGGTGACGAGGCTCATGCTTCCTGATGAGAGCAATGATCCGGTCGTGGATGTGACCAAGACCCTGCCCCCACAGCATGGAGACCTCCGAGCCGGAGTTCCTGGGCTCGCTTCGCAGTGCTTGGCGCAGCTCATCATTGAACGTCCTTTTGGTCA